TTTGCGAGTTAGTTTGGATTCAATATTTGGTATTTGAGGAATGTATGAAGTTTCGAAGAGTGCTGGTTTGGGGTAATCCTGGGAAACTTCTTGGATTGGTTTGGAGGAGGGGGTGGGGGAGGTGATTGTGAATTCTGAAGGTTTACATTTCAGAACGTTTTGTTACGATTACGTTTTTCTCTCTAGGATGTCTTTAATATAAATAGAGGTTTGGTTTCGTATGACCACACGCTGGTTTCCGTTGCAGTTCATACAAAAAGAGGTTTCATTTTTTGGGGGCACATTACAGAATGGTAATTTCCGGCACAACTGACGACATGATTGCAATTATTCTTCGTGTGTCCGTAATCTAAACATGTTTAACACGGCAAGGAGTCTTCAGGTTTTCTGCGTCTTTCTGTTTTCACACAGTAATTGCATATTTGCGTTATTGTTACGATTGTTTCTATTGGTTCGGTTTCGTTAAACTCGGCGGCCACCTCAGTGATTGGATTGTTGTCTTTAAAGAGTCTGGTAACTTTGGTAATTGCACATGAAAGCTTCCGCGGCTCGAATCCATAAATTCTTGGCTAGCGGGGAGACGCCGCGTCGTCGGCCTCCCAGACAACGACGCGGCGTCTCCCGGATAGCCAAGAATTTATAACTTTGGTAATTGATGGATGACGCGGTTTTCAATCTAAAAAAGATTTTTAGTTCCACAATTGACTGATGAAGGTTTTTAAAAAAGCCAATGAATATTTTTTAGATGGATCTTTAAACGAATGAACACTTCTCTGCGTTTGTATTAAATATTTAATTATGATGTGTTGTGACTGATTTTAACTTAATAATGTTGCATGAAAAAACGGAGAATTTTTTACAAAAAAGCTCTTATTACAGGACTCTGGTAACCAAAACGTGGATAAATCCAGTTGCTAAATTTGGAAAACAAAATCTTCTAACACGTGATGTAACCTAAATTTATTTTTTGTGGGTCCTTGATACTGAAAAGTTGTTTGACGGCAAAATGTCTTTCTGTCCGTCTGTGACCAGCGCTAGCGGCTAAACTGTTCAACCGATTTTGTCCAAAATTGACATACCTCGATTGATCTGGCTGATGTCGTGGAATCTTGAATTTAAAATCGATATTTTAATTTTGGGGGGTACTTACCAGGAAGCCCCTGGCACATTTTCAAAGCTTTCAAAAAAATTGCGGCATTGGTTTTTATTCAATTTTGTCGTTGGATAGTCTAAAGGACGTTTAAAAGAATGGCGTTCTTATGTTGGTTGAAAACTAATTTTTCCAAAATTGAAAAAATTCAAATTTTTGGGAGGGTCTTCCTAAAACTACAATGACGAAGACACATTTTTTCTTAGTGACATGGGTTTATCAATAACACATCTTTAAATAAGGTCATGCCCAACTTTTCAAAAAATGAGTATTTTTTCCGAAATTTTGTCAAACATAAGCAGTTTTTATTTTCTTCAAACCACTCTTAAAATCCGCAAACGGGCTTTTATTAAATTGAGAACTTAGCATAAAGGACGCTTAAGAGAATGGTGCAGGTCTCATGTTCATTAAAATGCGTGGCTTTGCGAATTTTTTAAAAAATTCGGCGTCATCCTAAATTATTGTAAAGATCTTCAAATAAGGTCATTTTGAATTTTTGAAAATATTAGTATTTTGTACCATTTCGCGACAAGTATTATAGCTCGCTCGAATTAATAGAGCTTGTATTTCGGCGTCTTCCTATAATTACAATTGTGAAAATACAATGTTTTACCTAACGAAGTGTGTTTATCAAAAATAGATCTCCAAATAAAGTCATATTCAATATTTTGAAAATTGAGTTGTTTTTTTAAATTTATTTTTTGTAAATTGGCGACAAAATTATGCGTCAACTGCGATTTTACTAAGCTTCGTGAACGATTCTACACAGTTGGATGCTTCGTAAGTCAGAATTTGTATATTATTTAATATTGCTTTGTTCGTTTCTTACATTCGACATTTTGTTATACATTTACACATTAATTTTCTAGAAATTACTTAAAATCTACTTGAAATAGTTCTAGCGTTCAGGCTCCATAACAATGAATCGGCAGTTCATTTTTGTGAATGACGTTTTACTGTTGGGACCTGATTTATCTGTATGAATAGCAGTTATAATTGAAAGACCGAGCGCAACAGTGAACAACTCTCCTTCATTAGAATCTGAGATTTTGTTCATCAAAGTTGACATGCTCCAGTTTTTCACATTTTTCCTTTACATTCATTTCATTTAATCAGTACTTTCTCTGAACATTAGTATTATTTGCCATACAGTAAAAACGGTCAAAATATTATATAAAAAGGGTAAAATTAAGTAAATTCTATTGGTTGACTGATAAAATGGGTAGATCCGTGTTGCACAGAACTCCAACAATCATAGCCAAAATCACTTTTTTTAAAATTTAGAACAAAATAAAAATAATCCCTGAAATTAACAGAAATGTACATTAATTTACAACTTTAATATCACAAAATTAAAAAATATGATATTTGTAGGAAATTTTTGAAAAAAAAATATTATAAAAAGTATTGTTTGAACATAAGCAGTTTGATGCAATCCAGGTGTCATGACCGTATGAGATTATATAAGAAATAAAATATTACGATCAAAATAAAAATAATTACCACAATATTGTGATTATACATTATCAGATATGTCAAAGAAATAACCATTTTCGTGTTCATGATCTGCCTGATGAGTTTCGGAAAAGAGATTATTGAAGAAATCATTATATAAGACTGGTACGTATTTTAAACGTTCTTTGATATCTTGCAGTTTATTGGCTTTAATTGGCCTTGGAGACTTATATTTTACAGGAAGATTAATTTGTGTGAGATCAAAAGTGTGTTTCTCTCGTATTTTGCATTTATTGAAATATAACCGTCAAATTGCTAGTCAATGTTTAAAGAAGTATTTCCATGGATGATCCTTAGTAAGTAGTACTTGAGCTAGGGAAAGCCATGGAAGTGGAAACGAGCAAGTCTGCAACACCGTGCGCGTAGCGTGCTTTATTCAAAACGAGCGACAAGAGAACTTCCACTTTCGGTGGTTCGGGGTACACTCTCGGTGTACTAGGAACAATGGAAAGATTCTAACTCCTAAAAAATGTTAACTTTGATATTAGCTGAAATTTGATGGATGTAATAAAAATCTAAATTTTGCTGCATAGAAATTAGAATGCAGAAAAAAGTTTTGAATTTTTGCAACTTTCGAAAAATCAGAGTTTTCAACGAAAATGAGACTTGCACCATTCGCATAAATGTATTTCATTCTATCAAACAACAAAATTGAATAAAAATCGTTGGAGCTACTTTTTGTAAATATCCCAGGGGCTTATTGTAAAAGAAAAGGAATAGCTAAAATTTCAAATTAATAAACATTCATTCATTGTTTTAGCGCCACTAGTTTTAATTTTGCAAATCCTCAAGTTCACCGACTGATCTTCTTCTGCTCACCGCGCCTGGCATTGGAGGTTTTTACTCTCTGCTAAGTGTAGCTTCAGTTGACTGGGTAGCCCCCCCCCCCCTTCTTCACTCAGGGGTGGGGCCATGCCGAGTACCACTTCCATGGCTTTCCCTGGTGGTAGAATTTGCGGCGTCCTATTTTCGTCACCATTGATGAAGTAGTTGATGTCACTATTGTGAAGCGTTATCAGGGCTTGACTAACAGCATGTCCTGTTGAGTCTGTGTCGCATTACGTAGACTTACCTAGACGTTTGCGGGGGACGTTCTCTGCGAGCAAGTCTTTGCTGCTAAGCCCTGCAGGAGCACTAAGACTAGGTTCCAAGTTCCCTGGTAGGCGAACCAGCCGGGATTGAGCGCAAGCAATGTAAGTGCAGCGAAGCTGGGCACTTCCGCTCACCACCGCTGTTGACCGACGGCGGCTAAACCGTAAGTGGAATTTTCACCCAAATTGATATTCCTTAATCGATCTGTCTGATGTCGTGTCCCCTCAAATTTGAAACCCACATTTTAATTTTTGAGGGTTCTTTGCGGGATGCTTTACAGCCATTTTAATTTATTTGTTTTATTTTTTCAAAAATGGCTCCATATTTACGTATCTATATTTTCGTATTGGCCTCGAATTACGGCTTAAGAAAATGGTGCAGGACTCAAGTTTCGTTGAAACAATGTGAATTCTGAAAAATCGCAAAAGTTTAACATTTTTCGTGTTTTTCTACAACTGCAGTATTGAAGAAAGAATTTTCTTCTTTACAAAAATAAATCTTATAATGAGGACATGTACTATTTTTCAAAATATGAATAATTTTCAAGAACGTTTGCAGGAAATATAGTCTAAAAATGGCTCAATGTTTTCCCTTCAGCTTTTCCTTCTGTAAGGGCAGTGTTAAATTCACCGAATAATATGACATACGTCATTTTGATGAATTCGTTTGATTTTTTAAAAATTTCACAAAGGTAATTTTTTAAGGTATCTCTCACGGCGTTAATATTTACGTTATGGTCATTTTCTACATAGTATTGCATTTGTGAACGCAAGTACTTCAAACGAGTTTTTTATGAAGTTTCTCGAAAACTCAAAAGTTTTTAAAAGAACATGTGCCCATTTTCAGAAATGCTCAAACGACATTTTCTCAAAAGTAGCTCCGAAATCTTCCATTAAAATGTCATATAGTGGCAGTTGTTACTCTGCTCTGAAAGTTGTAATGATAATTGAGAAAATATAAAAAATAAAAAAAAGATTACGCCCCTATAGCAGCTAAGAAGAGGGCGGAGCAAAACCACAAGTTTTGTCAAGACAAAAGAGATACATAAATTAACTAGTATGAAAACGTAAGTGTCATTCTTGAGCACCACTAGTTTTATTTATGTAGCCGACAAAGAATAAGTAATTTCTGTTCGAATGTACTTAATTAATTTTCACTATATTTTAAAATTTGAATTTAATTTAATTTTTAATTCATTTTGTATTAAATTAAAGTAAATTTTATTTAAAATTTATTATATTAGTGTATGTATGATTACATCTCTCCAACTTATCCATTCAATGAATAAATCCACTTCATGAAAGTATTCATCTTTATTTAGGGTTGTCACTTATCTCTTTACATCTCCTTTTACTTTGAAAGTAGTAGAGAACGGAACATTAGCAAGTCAGTTTTATACAAAGAATTAAAATCATAATTCACTTTAAAAGTCATTCAAGAAGTTTAATTTATTTCAAGCATATTTATAAAAAGAAATGTATACACAATGCCGCGCCAATGGAGTGCTACGTCGTCTCTGAGATGTCTCAAACAGTTCTCGCTCCCGCCGCTGCGCTGCGCTGGGATGCGCTCAACGACCGTCCATCGGCTGCACACCCAGACTCTTCGCCAATTCCTCCTAGAACCAAATGAATTCAAGATAAAATAGTGGCTGGGATAAAAAGTTCACATTCATACAGTTTTTAAATGTACTTTATCTCTAATGGCAGTATCATAATTTACAATATTCATGTATTTTAAACTGCGAAGTTTTACTTTGTACTCCACTTTCATGATGGCCAACTCACAATTGTAATTAATCAGATGTTAATATATTGTTAATATTTTAGAAAATCAATTAACAGTTATTTTGGAACACTTACATGCTTTTCATTTTTAACACGAAGTAAAGACCTCGTGTAATATGTATTATAGGTAATGTAAGAGATGTATATGAAATCAGTTATTACATTAAAAAAATATTAGATTCCCTTAGTGTTCTGTAAGATATGTTATAGCCTTTGTAAATGACGTTCCATATTACAAAATATGTTTAAAAATGTATACAGTTATTACTTCTGCGGAACAGATTGTTCAGCTTTGTTCTAGTAAATGTAAATCCAGCATTATCAGCAAATGCTAAATCGCATGAATGCCTGGATTTGATTAATTTGCCGATAACCACAACAGGTTATAAATCAATGTAACTACATAAGCCTCCTCAAATAACCCACAACCGTATGTTCCCAAACTCGATAACGTTATCGCATGCACTTTAATGCGATATACAGTGAACTCTGGAGTTCGTGAAATCAGATACAATGAACGTTTGATTACAGTGACTTAATTGATCACTGGTTCCCATCCACATATATTACAAACCAATTCCAAAATATTCGGTAATTGTCAATATCGTTTGTATAGGGAACACAATTTCCAGAAAAAAAGTTCGCTTCTGTATCTCCAATTCATGTAAAACTATGCATTTGCAGGTAAAGGGTCTCGTGAAATATTTTTGTAACATTTTGGTGAATAGGATTAAGGGAATGTGGCACTGAGGGCATTGCTTCAGCTCTTCCTGTAGTTCAGACAATTCTGTCTAGCCTGAAGACATCACGAATGCGGAACACACGTTAAAAACTAGTGAAAACTGATATAATTAAGACAGTAAATTCTTTGAACAGATCCTCCAAAACAGAAGAAAACAAGAACTTCAAGTGGAAGAGACATTCAAGGGTTTTAAGACTGCACTAAGCCGTCCAGACTCGATAATATAAAATAATAAGTAACGAAAGCTGGATATTTTAATTAATCTCTGAAATAATAAACCCAATAATTCTTAAAAATTATTATTATTATTATTATTATTATTATTATTATTATTATTATTATTATTATTATTATTATTTAGGGATGCAGAGAACCAAACATGATGTTCCCCAAAAGTTCACTGCAATCAGTTGACTTTTTCAGAACTGCCATTTTGCAGAGCGCCGTACGGGTACGATAAAACAAAAACTCGCGGTGTGGAAAGGAATTCCACAAAATAAATACACTCTTTTAATATCAAACGACCTCCTGTGGGTTGTAGCTACCATGCCGTTGCCTTATTTTTGAATTTTACTTCCTCGCTCGCATACGTCATAAGTAATGTTGTCAGATACTGCTCCAAATTCTTGAATGATCATTTACATATAGGACCAGGATTTGCACTTCTTTAGTATTTTTAAAGTTATATTTCAATTCCACTATTAGGGAAAATTGAAAGAAAGTTAAATAATGACTATTACGGTTATATATATATATATATA